TGTGTGTGTGTGTGTGTGTGTGTGTGTGTGTGTGTGTGTGTGTGTGTGTGTGTGTGTTCGTTCTGCTACCAAAGCCATTCTGACACATTTTTTGGAATTGTGGTTATTTATAGATGAAGTTACAGATTTGTGCTAGTTCATGTGCCTTAGGTGTTTGTAGTGGGGTCTGGTGGAAGGATGAGGATTTTTTTTTCCCTATACCTTTGACTGAAAGAGAGACCTCACAGTAATGCAAGGCATCAGTGTTGGCAGAATGTCCCTCTTGAATGCTAACATGATCAGGGGAAGAGGCCCCAATCCCAGCCTCTGCCATTTGTGGTTATGCGATTCCGGGTCTGTTGAATGAGTTTAATTAAGCTTTGCAGCTGGCCTGGAGCCACTGGATTGTGCTCCTCTTGCCAGCGGCAGCCCTGGCGCGCCCAGGGGACCACTTGGCCTCATACAATACAGCACTGCTTTTAAGGGACTGGCTTCAGTCGCCACAAGGAACCTCCTTTCCAGGGATTTGCTCAGCAAGATCAGACAGGGAGAAGTTAATCACTTCTCTCAGCCAGGCCTTTGGCTTGCGGGCCTCTCCTTGTTGTCTGGATCAAAGGCGCTCAATCCCAGCTCTGATTAAGTAGTGGGAGGAGAGGTGAACTCCAAGGAAGGGGAGTGCAGCTTGATGATGCCTGGCCCCCAGGCTGACCTCTGGCTACCACAGTTAGTGGGTCCCTCAGTTCTGCTGCTGCTCTTTAGGCAGCCCCAAATGACACTGAGGCAGTCACTCCTGCTGGGCACTGAGTATTAGGTCCCAGCTCACTACAGCCGCTGTGTCTCACGTGTCTCACTGTCCGGCTGACTTGTCTCCCATTCTTTCCCACTCTTCCCCTGGGGCTTTTCATGTTTGTTCACTAGTCTTTACCCCCAGGTGCTACTTCCAGGAAGTGTACCATTTTTTTTCCTCCTCGTTGGGGGCCTTTCTTGTCCAGCAGACAAAAATGAAGATTCATGTTACTTTTTAAAAATTGGCTTAACAGTCACTTGTCATGAGCAACATCTTATCATCTAAGCTCTTTATGTAAACACTAAAAGAACTCAAATCTTAAGGAAAACCAAATTAATGACTCTGTTTACTCTGCATAAAAAGGATACATCCTTTTGTATATAAGTGAGCACCACGTGAGCCATTAGCATAATTGTTTCTGTTTTAAGAGGGAACTTGAATATGGGCAGTTTTTAACAAGATTATGCTTTGGTTTATGAAACCTTTACACTGAAGAGCTCCCTTAGTCTCAAACCTTACCTTACTTGGAAAGTGGTTTGAGCTGCCAGGTTTAGTCCATGCTCCCTTTCCTGTCATAAAGAACACCTGAACCTGGCTCTGTGCATGTATGAGGGACTCTTGTCATTGTCACTCTGTAATCTTTTTTTTTCTTTCTTATTCTCTGTTTGTCACTGTCAGTGCTCTGTGAAGAACTGCCGCACGGCCTTCCATGTGACCTGTGCTTTCGATCGGGGCTTGGAGATGAAGACCATCTTGGCGGAGAATGATGAAGTGAAGTTCAAGTCCTACTGCCCGAAGCACAGCTCACATAGGAAACCCGAGGAGAATCGGGGTGAGGGGGCAGCTCAGGAGAATGGGGCCCCTGAATGTTCTCCCCGGAACCCGCTGGAGCCCTTTGCCAGTCTGGAGCAGAATCGGGAAGAGGCCCACCGGGTGAGTGTACGCAAGCAGAAGCTGCAGCAGCTGGAGGACGAGTTCTACACCTTCGTCAACCTGCTGGATGTGGCCAGGGCCCTGCGGCTGCCCGAGGAAGTGGTGGATTTCCTGTATCAGTACTGGAAGTTGAAGAGGAAGGTCAACTTCAACAAGCCCCTGATTACTCCAAAGAAAGACGAAGAGGACAATCTAGCGAAGCGGGAGCAGGATGTCTTGTTTAGGAGGCTGCAGCTGTTCACTCACCTGCGGCAGGACCTGGAGAGGGTAATGATTGACACTGACACCTTATAGTGACATAGAGAAGAAGATTGCAAAGAGTCGAACGCTTGCCCAGAGCAAGAAATCATAGCCAGTTTTGTTTATTTTCAGCCCCTTGTACATACTGCAGCATGAGGTTGTGTCAGTTACATATAAATATGGGCTGGTAAACTCATTGTACTTACGTGCAAGACTGCCACAGAGGGCGTACTTCTCTGTGATTTTTTTTAAAATACTTTCCCAGTAATCCTTATTGTTGTTCTGCAAGATCAAATGAGATCTCTCTCTTTCTTCCCCTTTTGCTTTCTGAAGCTAGAGGGAAAGGGGCCTTAGGATAAAGGCCAAGGCATAGGTTCATAATTGTTTACAAATTGAGTTAGAAAATGAGAATGGATTTTCTTTTGGGGGCCAGCCATAGGAAAATCTCTTGTTCAGCCTGGGAAAATACTTATTAGGTGCTGGCAGTGGGCTCTTTACAGTGAGTGAAGTCCTCTCCCCCATCCACCTTGTGTCCTGGCTAATTGGAAGGGGCCTTCCCAGTACTGTCATGGAGCAGGCCTGGGTACCAGTGCTGACGTGTATGAGCTACATACATAGGCATCTCTTGTTATGGAACACACTACTGGCAGTGAGGTGCTAAGTCATCACCGAGGCTGTGTACATACTCTGTGTGGGTGTGTGCGTGTGAGCGTGCATGTGTGTCGCTGTGTGTGTCTGTTCAGGTGTCAGGTGGGGTTCCTGTTGCACATAGGCATCAGGGCTGTCTGAGGAGCCCTGGAATGCTCAGCACACCACAGATCTGTGGTTATCTCACTTCTGGACTGCTGAATGTAATGGCTGTTGGCTGCCAGAGCTGATGGCACTCCTGTGGCAGGTTTGCTGCTTTGTGCCTCCCCAGTCTCCCCTTAACCTTTGAGTCCCAGGCTGGACCTCCCTCATGTTACAAGAATAATTAGGGATGGGCTGTGTTGCCTCCAGGGCCTCTGGCTCCCTGCAGGTAGTTACTGACTGAGACTTGCTAATTGGGGATGCCATCTTCCAGCACCTTCTGTGTTAACTTCTCTAACTCCCTTGACTGTTGGCTACAATTAAATTCATTAGTGCACAGTAGGTGGGACTGAGGCTTTCAGGCCTGAAGCAGCCTGCACTGAAAGGCACCCAAGTGGCCTGAAACAGTTAATGCGTCTCCCCAAAGCACCTAACTTATTAGTGGGAGCTTTTCACCTGCCTGGGAGAGGATCTGACTCCTGGGTGATTTGAAATGGGACTGTGGGCAAAGAATAGTGAAAATGTAAAGTATGGAACCAAAAGATTCCGATCTCACAGAGACCTGTCTCTGTTAGAGATGGTGTAGGAGTGAAAATATTTTTCAGTGCTCATTAGAGATCATTTTAGGACTTGACCCCAGCGCACCAAGTTTAAGACTCAGGGAAGGTGGATGCTTCAGGCTTAGGCAGCCTCCACTGGAAGAAGGGTTTGTGAGGTTTTGTGCTCCGATCTGCCCCCTGGTGGTGAGTGTAAAGAAGACCTTGTCTCTCAAAGATCTGTGTGTGGCATTTTTGTAAGAACTAAGGATTCAGGATATGTTGGAATCCTACAGAGAAGCCATATTCCAGTCTGACAACACTGTAATTGGGGTGCATGAGCTATGGAGTCAGATTGTCCTCAGAAGGAGAGGACGAGAAGTCTTAATGTTTGGACTGTGTTTGTCTCACAATCACCACAAAATAAAAATGTAGAAAATGCTTGTGGTGTACTAACTCTTTTCTGTGCTTAAGTTACTCAGATTAACATGCATTTACAATTAAATTCTGAACCTTTTTTGGAGTCATTGTTGCTTTTTAAGTAGAAACCATTGCTGTACGAGAAACAGGGAATAAATAGGATTTGTGTGTGTGCGCGCATGTGTGGCATTACTTACATTGAATTTAATGAAGAGCCTAAGAGTTTAGGAAATTTTATGGCAATTTAAAACTAGTGGGGAAAAAAGTGTTACAAAAATCTGCCATGAGGCATGTGATGGTGAAAGCGTAAAATAATGTAAATGTTTGTCATATCCCAGAGAGGGTCACAATTCTTTGTAATTATGAACACTAACTGTATCCGGTCAAAGGCTCATCAGAGCAATATGACAATAATACTAATTTGTTTTCTCAAGTAAGTTAGAGTTCTGTCTAATTCACACAATATCATTTCATGGCAGGCCCTCAGAATCAGTTAACACATGTGACTGTAATCAGGCATATGGTCATTCCTAAACGAACAAATGAGTAGCCTTCATTAGAAATGCAAACAACACTGATGAATGATTATGGTAATTGCTCCTTCCTGCAAATACACACCCTAGGGCCTTGCACACCTGGGTACCAGTCCTGGATTTCGAAGTTAGATGACAGCCATGGTTTACGGGAGGCCTGGGGAACCTAGAACTTTCAGAAGATGTGATCACTGCTGTGGAAAGTGCCATGATGAATCCCCAAAGCTACCCCTTCACTCTGGTGGGATACTCTCCCCCTGAACATTGTCTTCTAAAGGAAGCAGTGAATATGTGAGGTTTGCTTGATCAGACAAAGGCATACTACCTCTGCAGCATTTGGGGAGTGAAATGATAGGGGAGCCAGTTGAGGATTGTCCTACTCACCACTCAGTGTAGTGGTCACCTTTGAAAATCTTGTAGAAGCTACAGTCCTTCACTGAAAACAGAGGTTTGAATGTTGCAAGCTGTCTTTGAGATTCAAGAAAACTTTTTGATAGCCATTCTGAATTTCTTAGGACAATAATTTTCCAGAGTGCCAGCATTGTCTGGAAACTTCCTGAAAGTGCAAGTCTGTGGACCCCACCCCAGCCTGGAAATTGGCTGGAGTTGCCAGCAAGCTGTTTAAAGCTTCCCAAGTGTTCCTGATGCCTCCTCAAGTCCGGCAACCACTCACTGCTATAATAGGGGAAAGTGAACATTCAGGTTTAACAGGACTGAGAACACCCAGAAGCTGGCTCATTTGGGTACTTCCTTGCTAGCAACTGTCAGAAGTTAAAAACTAGCAGGAAATTGGGTTGATCAGTATATAGGGCAGGGAGAAGAGACATTTTGAGAAGCGTGGAACTTCACTTCCTCTTTGTACAGTGGCGACTGCTGAAAGCTTCCCTGTAAGGGGAGATGTTCCAGGCTCCTAGACTTAGGGTGCAGTTCTAAAGTATGGCCAGCCAGCCCTAGGTTAGTCCAATTGAAAACGAAACAAAACCTTTCCTTTTTTTGTTTTGTTTATTTTTAGGCATTTCTCATCAGCATGGGGAATAGAAAAGCAATTTTTCCACTTTAGCAGTGAAGTCTTCTTCAGGGGTGGGGGAAAGGAAGGGAGTGGTTACTACTATTACAATTAAATTTGAATAACAAATGTCAAGTTCTTTATTTCCCTATTTTTTCTTTTTCTTTTCACAAGTAATCTCAGCTTTATATGTGATATGAGTTTGAGAGCCTGTCTACTCCTGGGATATCAGAGAATTTGTTTTCATTTTTACTTCCAGATGGCAGATTCCCTGTCATATTGTAAAAATCTATGTTCTCAGAACATTTTGAATCGTCCTGGATACAGGTTCTGTCCTTTCCTCTCTTTGAGCTTCTATTCTAAAAATCTCAACCGACTGGAGCAACATTTATCAAATACTTCATCCCACTTTGGTCAGGACCTCATGAAAGACCACCTACTTGCTGTCTTTGAGAGCATGAACCTAGTCAAACGAGAGGAGCACATCTTAATCAGGGCAAATGATCACAAGATAACATTTACTCCGAGATTTTTGTCTTACGTTTTAAAAACAATATTAAAAAGAGAAGTGCTGGTAAGTTAAGGAATCTGCACAAATGAAAGAAGATTCTAACAGCCCCAGTCATTTAGGGTCCTGAGAAGCCCCTTACTTGGTGTTGCTGTTCATGGCAGGGTATTGTACTATGATGCAAATGTGAAAGCCAGCAACCCATTCTGTTTATCTTGAAAGCAAAGAGTGTCTTGAATACAGTTCAGAGGGAAAAGCAACTTGTTAAGGCTTAGGACATAAGACCTGAGGGAATGCACATTACCAGTGGGCAGTGTCTGTACACGACAGGCATCATACCCATATACAAGAGGTTGGTGACATCTTTTCCATATAAAGCAAGGTGGCAAGGAGGGGATTGCCTAAGCATAAGTGAGTTCTGGAAGAGTTATGTCACTGAGGTACCTGCGCAGCTACTAACCTAAAGGTTGGCAGTGTGAACCCACCCTTCTGTGGTGGCAGGCAGGCCCAGTGACAACAGGAAAGCTTTAACAGTACAGTTCTAGTCTCTTAAAATGTGGGTCACCATGAGTGATTAAAAAGTAACAAGTTTGACGTTTAAGGAATGTTAATAAGAAAGAGTCCCATTAGTACAAAAGTTAGAGCCCTATGAAAGCTGCCATATGAAAGGTCAGGTGTGAACCCACCAACCACTCAGAGAAAGCTGTATGGCATTCTGCGTCTAAAGATTACAGCTTTATAAACCCTATGAGGGAGTTCTACAGGGTTGCTATAAGCTGGTATTTACTCCATGTCAATGGGTTTGCTTTTCTAGTTCATTAATGGTAGGTGCTGACTGGAAGTACATGATTATATATTTATGCCACAAATAATTTGGGAAGTCTTGTCTACATCTTTATGAGGTGACGTATAGTTGTATATCCTGTGTGTGGTGTATTTTCAGGCCCATGTAATCTAGTCAGGTTTGCCAGTGGGGGAGAATACTAGAATCAAAGGAGTAGATGATTTATTGACTATAAATTTTGCTTCGATGTTGGCTGATACATAGGTTTTAAAAAGGGGAATGACTAAATACCAATATGGTTAAATAACAATATGGCATGTACACAGGACATCAGTTATTGTACATCAGATACAGAGCTCTTAGCACTGAATGTTCAGTTACTTACAAATGAAGTGTAAAGAAGGTGATCATTTTTTCCTGTTTTTGAAGTGTTGATATAGACTTCTGGACTTAAAATATTGACAACCGCAAATCTCTGGCAAAGCTGGAAGTAGCTCTCCTCTCCATTTAGCTCTAGGCATTTGAGAGGTCAGTGTCCAGTTGGCAAAGTTGACTTAGAGTCTTGTTAACCATTTGACCCTGTGCAGGGACATTCCTGTAGGTGACTCCTCCTGACAGCCCTTGACTATGTCCTTCCCTAGTTGCATCTTAAGAAGCTACTTGAGAAGTGAGGCAGAGGTGGCCTCTTAACGCTCTACAGTCTCCTGTAATAGAATGAATGGGAAGAAGAGAACTTGGAGGATGGAAGAGCTTGCACATTCTGAATCTGAGAACACTGTCTTCTTTGCCAAGATCAGCCTGAGCCTATGTGTGATGAACAGGCTGGGCTTTTTAACGCTCTCCCGCGTTGCTACGTGGCTCTTGTGGCTTAGTGGAAAGGAGTTGTGCTGCCAACTCAAAAGACTCAAGATTGAACATACCAGCAGCTCCACAGGAGAAAGACGGGCACTCTACTCTCCTGCAACCTAGTGCCCCTGAAAACCCACTGGAGAGTCAGCCGTGAGTTGCTGCTGACTGGATTAAGGGGTGGTATATGTTGTGTACCACTGAGTCGGACCCGACCCATAGCTGACCCTCCAGCAGGTTTTCAAAGGCAGTAAATCGCATGGGAGTTGATTGCCCATCTTTCTCCTGCGGAGCCGCTGGTGGATTCGTACCACATTTCTTTGGGCTGGCAGTGTGAGTATTAGCAGCCTGAAAGGAGATTAAAGAATGAATAAAGTGTTTAAAGTGCATTTTGATTTCAAATGTCTGTCAAAGCCCTAACAAGACCAAGTTCTCAAGTCTTTTTTTGTTTGTAAAAGTGCCACTGTATTGTCATGATGTTATGCTTACTTAGAATCTTTATTCTCTACATTCTAGGTTCGGAACCTCACTTACATGGTGACCCGCAGGGAAAAGATTAAACGATCTGTGTGCAAAGTCCAGGAACAGATATTCAATCTTTACACTAAGCTCTTGGAGCAAGAAAGAATTTCAGGTATGCATTAAGCCTTGTAGGTCAAAATATAGGGCAGGAGTTTAAAAGGCTGTAGAGTATATAACTCTTGGTTAGGAGCAAAATAAGAATTTCTTATTTTCTTTCAAATATCCTAGAGAAGAATCTGAGAAACATAGCCTTTCATATTTAAGGAAAATCTCGAGGTGTTTAAGATATCATGGTATAGGGAAAGAGGTGTTAAGTCTGGTCCCAAAGTTGGGTTCTTTTTACAGACAAAACACAAGTCTCAACTTTTTTGCTTTTCAGTTTTCAAATATGTGTAAAATGGCAATGTCTCCAGTTAAGATGTACCTAAGAAGAGTTAGTAAGTTACCTAGCATTTGAATTTGCCTGTAACATGAAAAATACACCTCAAGGCCATTTTTAAGACACATATACATGCTTGTTTGCTGTTATGTGCTGTCAAGTCACTTGTGAATCAGAGTGGCCCCATGGACAGCAGCCCTGAATCCTGCTCTTTCTTGAGCCAACCTCATTGTCTCTGACACCCTTATCCCCATTATCCTAGTCCCTGAGTCAACCCATCTCATCCAGGTTCTTCGTCTCTTGCGCCATCCCTCACCAAGGACTTGTCCCTCCTTGAAACATGCACAAAGTATGTCAGACGAAGCTTCAAAATCCTTGCCTCCTAGGAGCAGCCTGGTTTCACCCGCTCCAGTAACACTTATTCTCTAACTGGACTTCGAGAAAGGGGCAAAGTTGGGCAAACTGTTTAACCTTACTGGGGCTCAGTTTTTCTGTTAAAAACTAGACGTTTGGTCTAGGATCACAGCCTTTAAAAAGGACCTTACAGCACTAACACCATGTAATAAATACCACAAAGTATGTGCTAGAACGATTTCCAAGGAGATACATTGAGTGTAGATGAACAGAATCATATACTCATGGAAGAGATAGACCCCAGACTGGACTTGAGTGGAAGACAGTGAGTGTGAGCTTTCTTTTCTGCCTTTGTCAGCTTTACAAAGAACTTGTTATGTTGAAATCCAAAATCTGGCTTTATAACAACTACCCATATACTTGAGGCTTATTAATAATCAACCATATTCACGTGACTAGCTCTGGTGGCCTTTAGTAAGGAGCTACACTCCCAACTCAAAAGCATAGGGTTTGAACCCACCAGCTGCTCTGCAGGAGAAAGATGGTCATCTCCTCTCACGTGATTTATTGTCTCTGATCATCTGCTGGAGGTTCCGCTGAGAGGTGATTCTACTCCATGGCTTATAATAACAGGTTAAATAGCTCTGGTGGAAGTTGAGCTGCTGTCCAGAGGTGGCATCTCTGATGTTTTGACTTCACTAGCACCTCTGTGGGAGAAAAATGGGCAAGTTGCTCCCTTAGGATTTATAATCTACTTAAAACCTTTTGGGAGGTCAGCTAGGAGTTTTGCATTTTTGTTAAGTAAATTGGTCAGCTGAAAAACACAAAAAAGCTTACAGCTTTCTTGCTTATGATGTTTTTAATGGTATTCTTGAAATGTTACATAGTTTTACTGGTGCTGACTTACTGATATTTTCTCCGTAACAGTAAATGTTTTCCAGATGTGTCAAGGTTATATCGTTAGCCAGAGTTTAGACTTTAGCTTTTTTTTTTTAAATATATTTTTAGAAATTGTTGTTTCTGATTGCTGTGGAGTCAAGCACGACTCATAGCGACCCTATGAACAAAAGGCCTGAAGCATTTTTAAAACTACGATATTCTAAAAAGCTGTTTGGTTAAGTGAACATACAACTCTTCAATACTCGTACTTGAATAATCTGTTTTACACTGGCTGGGCCATTGTGTCTTTATGCAAATAACCACATGGAGAGAAGGTTGCTGATGCAGATACTGCTGTTGTGCAGGTTGTGTATGTGGAGTTGTGACATCAAAGGGCTGTGATTCTTGTTAGGTAATGAGGGATTACCTAAAAAAAAGTCTGTAAAGAACATTTTCATCGGATTTTACTCGAGTCATCTTTCATGGATATTGTAGGCAGCTTGTTGCATTTCATAGCTGAGGCTTTTACTTGGGGGAAAGAATAGAACTGCAAACAAGGTTAGGAAGATTTCTGTGTCACAGAGCTATAATGGGGCTCTTGTGTTCAGAAGTCCTACTGCTGTTCCAGAAAAGGAAAACAAATCCTCCCTTCATGGTGAGGTAAGAACTGGACTGTATATGATTGAGTGAAGGCTACATTAATCTTCCTGAAGCATGCTACAAGAAATGACAGGAGGTGGGACTACATCTCTTGAGGGTGCCTTTCTTTTCCTTGTTGTAGTTTCAGATGTTCAGTTGTGCTGTTATTAATACCGAAAGTTAGGCTCCTGCCTTGTGAGATAGATGTTTCCAAGTGAAGCTGAGCAGATGGCTGACTTAAGGGTGTCTCTTGGAGTCCATGATTTAAAACTCTGCTGGGTGACTGTGAGCACGGGCAGGGCCATTCTGCTGAAGGACACATCTGACTGAGTGCACTCTGTGGCTTCACTGTCCATGGAGGTCATGAATCAGGAGCCCTTCTGAGACATGGACCTGAAGTCAAGTAGAGTAAGGAGATTTCGGAGATCCTCAGGCCCTTTTACCTTTCTGCTTCCCATTGTTAACTGAGAAATACCTTAAGTTGCAGCAGTAAGAGTGAATGTCGTGCTTGACCACTGAGAAAGCAGGCATTTCCAACCCAGAAGATTGTAGAATGTAGTCACCTGTGATCATACTGTCGGTTTGCTTGCTGTATTTCTGCTTTCTTGTCAGTAAGATGATGGGCTCCTGTCTCAAACTCTGGGGAGCTAACGCTTGTTTTCTTGGTTATTCATACCTTTGTGGAGGCAGAAAACTAGAAATGGAAACTGCGCTTTGGAGATACACTGGAGGCTCTGGTACCCACAAAAACTGCCTGATACATGGCAGTCTCTCATGAACACATCCATTGTTTTTGAGGCCGTGGGTTATGACTCATTAATGGGTTGTGAGATGAATTTGGTAGATCATGACCAGCAACTAAGAGCACGTGAAGTAGAATTGAAAATATCAGCGTGCATATCAGGTGATGAGAGCTAATATTTCATTAAGTGAGTTTTTATTCATGCCGCAAAATTGATCTCCTGTGATGTGCATAAAAAGGTTTGAAAAATACCATTTTAACTTACCTCAAATGGAATCATTCACTTGACTCCTACATAGAAGGTTTTTTAAGTAAAAACAAAAGTATAGAACTTAGATTTATTATTGTTTTACTATGGTAAATATGTTTTAAATACTTACTTTATGGCAGATATTTTAATTACTTTCCTTAATTTATCTGTTTACATGTACTTTATTTACACAATAACTCTTAGAGGTTATTGGTAAAAGAAACTTAAAAGCCCTAGCTCCTGGTGTTTGTTGTTTTTTAAGAAGGAAAGTGATGACTGGAAGGTGAATTGCAATGCATCTTGAATTTTTTCTCTAACAAGGGATGGAGGTTATAGGAGGCGTAATGAATGGATGCCCTCTGATGTATGGATTACGCCTTGAGAATCCTATAATTTAATCTGTTTGAAGGAAACCATTCTTCTTAAAAAAAATGTTTTGTGAAAAATTACATGAGCTGCAGGTAATTTAGAAAATACATGTTGAATGTACAAATCCAATGCAAATTCTTATCTTTTAATTAAGAGTCCCTTTTAAAGACTAGGTAGTGTGAGTTTTGTTATACTACTGAGTGGGAAATGTGCATGCATAAGACCCTAGAGGGGTCTTGAACTTTCCTCATTTGGATTTCCTTCCACTCTAATTTTCATTTGTGTTTCTGTGCTTCTAGGTGTGCCTTCTTCCTCTTGTTCTTCCTCCTCACTGGAAAGCATGCTGTTGTTTAACAGTGCTTCTGTGGGCCCCGATGCTCCTAAGATAGAGGACTTGAAGTGGCATTCTGCATTCTTCAGGAAACAAATGGGTACTTCTTTGGTCCATTCACTGAAAAAGCCCCACAAGCGAGATCTCTTGCAGAATAGTACCAGGAGTGAAGGGAAAGCTCTGCTCAAGCAGCCAGACCTATGTGGCAGAAGGGAGGGAATGGTGGGCCCAGAGAGCTTTTTGAGTTTTGAAAAGACCTTTGCAGAAGCACGTATCATATCAGCACAACAGAAAAATGGTGTGGTGATGCCAGACCATGGAAAAAGAAGAGACAATCGTTTTCATTGTGATCTCATTAAGGGAGATTTAAAAGACAAACCTTTTAAACAGAGTCACAAGCCTCTCAGGTCCACAGATGTGTCCCAGAGGCATCTGGACAACACAAGAGCTGCCACCTCCCCAGGAGTGGGGCATTTGGCGCCCAGCACCAGGAAGGAGACAGTGCCCAAGTGCAATGGCTCCCTAGTCAAAGTAAACTATAACCAGACTGCAGTCAAAGTGCCTACAACACCTGCCAGCCCAGTGAAGAACTGGGGAGGATTCCGGATTCCAAAGAAGGGGGAGCGGCAGCAGCAGGGAGAGGCCCACGAGGGGGCCTGCCACCAGCACTCAGACTACTCATACTTGGGCTTAGGCCGAGTTCCAACCAAGGAAAGGTCAAAAAGCAAATTAAAATCCGACAACGAGAATGATGGGTATGTCCCTGATGTAGAAATGAGTGACTCAGAGAGCGAGGCGTCAGAAAAGAAATGCATACACACCAGCAGCACTATCACCAGGAGGACAGACATTATCAGGAGAAGCATCTTGGCTTCATGAAGGAGCAGAGGAAGCTCTGGGAGGCCGTCGGGGGTGTGTGCCCAAAGACAGTACACACACTGGGCACACGGAGGCCCATCCATTACTCCTGAGCTAACACAAGCAAATTTACTTGCAGTCCAGACCAATTTCTTCCCCTTCGAATCATTTATAAATCATTGTGAGATATTTGTGTTATTTTGCAACTTGCCGAGGAAACACGAGAGTAGATTGTTAACTGTATGACACTGCTCCAAGTAGAACCCGAATTCAACACTAAAAAGAGAATGAACGTAGTTTCAAAGAGGGCAAGGCTTAAATAAGCCTGGTGAATTTTTATTGCCCTCTCGAGTCTTTCCAAAGCACAAATTCTTGGTTATCTGAATATGTACGGTATCAAACATGGTTCTTGAGAAATTCTCATGCACCATTTAATAATAGCCCATAAAACTTCTTTTCCAAGACTGGTAGATCTTGAAATCATATCTATACTTTGGCCCACAAGGCTGTTTTTGTTGTGTTATCATGTATAGGCAGCAGCTCAGAGACTTTAGTACATAGGAAATTCGTGTAAATATAGTAGATAGGGAAGAGAGAATTCAAGCAAAGGTCATTACTGGAATTGCTGACAGGACAGGATAGAGCTGCTGCAGTGTGGAGATCTAGGGTACATGATGTAGCACAAGGTCCCTTGGGTGGGTGTCGATAGACGATTGGTGGAGAGTAAAGCCATTAAGAGAGCTCTGTCTAGGAGGAAGGGCAGTTGAGGTCCAATGTTTACTTAGTCCTCTTGACCCTGCTTTTCCCTAACCACTGGCCCTTGGGCCAATTTAGGATTTCCCTAGCCATTGGCCACATTTGGCCATCTGGCTTCCAATAATGCAATGGCTGTTCAAGTTCAGGCTGAGAAACTTCCAGACTGGTGGATTCAACCACTAGTGCATATGTTAGGGAATCTGGTCTTCCACCATGAACAGATTTCTTTAAAAAAAAAGAGGAGAAGGGTAAAAAAGGAAAATAGAAAAAAAGCAAAGTAGGTTATATTTTAAAAACAATAGAAAGGCAGTAAGTTGCGATAAGTTCTTATCACAAGATTATACAGGAAAGAGGTTGAGGTCTACCCTTGAATAAGTTTTCTGGAGTCGGAGATCTAAGCTCTTATTCGTAACTTAGACTTTCTAATAGCAAATGGCAATAACTAGTAAGTGATCAGCAATAATTTAGCATTAAATTTGAGTATAATGTGTTGTTTTTGCACTTCTTACAGTGCGTATGTATTAAGACAGTGGATAGTGTTAAGGTCCTGTTAATTTTTTTTGGAATTCAATGTAGTTGTGAATCAAATTTAAGAGAAAGAAAGTTTAAATAGCTATGAGATTTAGAGTTATGGGCACTTGGAACAAGCCCAGCTCCTTCCCTAATCTGCCCCTTAGTTTGTTAATGTCAGTATTCAGATCCTGATTCATTTATACATCTGTTTCCATATGGCAGGGACATTCTGATACGTAATGAACAGTGCTTGAGTTCTGTAGTTAATGTTCAAGTCTTCCAGATGATTGTCAACAACAAAAAAAGGCTTATTTGAATTCCATCTTGCTATGCAAGTTTTATCAGATGATCAAATTATAGATCTGATACATCCCCATTGTATGTGTGACATTTTCAAACCAAGTCTTAACATGTTGAGTACATTTTAGTAGCTAATTCAGGGGAGGGGAAAGAAAGAACCAGGTTTTTAGACTATTTTTGAGTGATGGGGCTCATTTTGAAGGACGGCTGTCCAGATACGCTTGTTGCTACAGATATTAGAAAGTTCTTAAGAATCCAGGTTGTACATTCACTTGTAAAATAATTTTTTAAAAATCTGAATTCTTCCCCCTCCCCCCCTTTTTGGCCTATTAGCAAAACCCTTTAGCTGGATTCAGGAGAAAGTGAATTCTATCTATAGTTCTCTTTTGACTACAGCAACAGCTCTGGATGAAAGTAGGATTTATAGAGGGATGATTTGTCAAGCCATAGAAAGAAAATCTAAATTCTAATAAGTATATGACCTCTCACCATTTCAAGAGGTCCCAGATCATTTGCACTATTAGGAATGCTAGTTTTGTGCAAAAATAATGCCTTACCTGTTTTTCCCCCACATTTAGGTTGAAAAGCTTTCAAACGTTCCAAGTTATGCTGAACCAAAAAAAAAAAAAAAAAACAAACAAAAACCACCACAAAAAACTAATACTTTTTTAAAAACCCATACAAAAACTAAACACACACACAAAAAAATAAGAAAGCCCACACTTTTTTTCCTGCTTTGAAATGCAAATGGTATGGAGCACGGTTTCTCTGACAGTATAATGATAGCTTTGTAAGGTAGTTTCATGTCACGCTGGGAACTCTGTATGAGGTGGCCATAAGCAGCAACCAAGTCAACCTTCCCACTTGCATTCTATTAGTACAGAACCATTTGCTTTTTTTTCTCTTTAAAACAACAACAAAAAATTTGTTTTCTTTTAGCTTTATCTTTCCTTGTGCATCCTGACCAAGAAAAATCTTTGATTATGATTAATGTATTATGTCAAAATGTAGGCTAGTTAAACTTTTGTAAGTTGCCTGGAATGTCATTTGTTAGGTTATAAACACAATCTAAATGAAGGGTTATATGTGTTGTGTACAAATCTTAATTATTTTGAAATGGACAAACTTGTCATTACATTTGTAACCTTGTACAGAGGATTTTTCACTATGTGCCTAGCTTGGTGTCCATTCAGCTAAAATTGAAAAAAAAAAAGGTGCATGAAGCGTTAAAAATCAGAAATTAAACAAAGTATATGTAGAGATGACTATTTTATATTACATGGCCCAATCCTGTATTTATTTCTATCCTCTTTTTGAAAGTATTTATAAAACTAGTTGAGGACAGCTGTATTTTTTTGTTGAACTATTTAGTAGAATTTGTGCCTTTTTGTCTGTATGTGAATAAATGCTGTACATTTTGCAGAACATTTCAAAGTGTCTTGAAATCTGCTTTTGCTAAATATGTAAAGATGTATATTATTTAGCAGTCCTGAGTGGGTACTTGTGTGTCAAACTTTAGATCAGAAATGGGAGGTTGGTAACAGCAGAATAGTTCCGGATTCACTGGATCACTTTCTCGTTTAATTCTGATGGTGAGACTGAAATGTACTAACATGTTGATTTCCCACCTGAAGTTCCTTCCTTCCAGGATACAGTTTTGGGACTTACTGATGAAATAACATAGACTAAATCAGAATTTAAATGCCAAACTAATTTATTGTACAACTGTGGGATACAACTATGTGTATCCTTTTTGTGTAAGCCTCAGTTTTCCCATCTGGGAAAAGAGCGTAACAGCCCATGGTTGATAGAATATTTAAAGTAAGTTCTTAGAGCATCTGATACTAGGTCATTTAACAAATTGTAAGCTATTTTTATTATAATTAGGAACAACATTGATTTTTGCAACATAACTATCTGATGGAAAACATGTTACTTTTCAGTAATAGGAAGGTCACAATTATAAGGTACTTAAACATAATTTTTCAAAGACAGTTTTATTAAATGTTTTCATATCACAGAACTTAGGAACATGAGATCCAGGAACAACAATAAAAAAATATCCAACACCAGATGGCATCTGGTTTAGCAAAAATGGGCCTGAAACAGTCTTCATAAAACCACAATATGTAGAAATTACTATTTAACGAACTGCACTTTTTTGTGTGTTTTGGGAGCAACACAACTGGTGTGAACCATTCATTCTCATTTCGATAATAACAAGTAGGGGCCACAACAGGACTGTGCAGATCGAGTTTCTGTAAAATTTTTAAAAAATCATAAGCAAAGCCTCGTAGTTTATACATACATTTGGCTGGAAGCATGTTTATGTCTCCTTGTCCCTCTTTGGTGACTCTTTACTTCTGTGTTTCTTGCTCTCAGTAAGGCCCCAGAGAGAAATAACTGATTCTTCCTACAAGGTCTTCAAGTTGAGTAACCACAATAGTTCCCTCGGGAAAGTCCCCCAGAGAGCCCAAGGAAAGGCCTGTCATTGGCAATCCTGCAATCTAGAATTGGGGAATGTGGCGCAAGGGACCCATGCTCGTGTTTTCACCAGTCACTTGAAAATGGTTTCTACCTTTGAAACATTAACCATCTGCAACAAACTTTGCAATGAATTTCAAGGTTGAAATCGTCAATATGATTTCCTCTTAATGTTCAGAGCTGTGTTAGATTTTGCCTTCTAGTGAGGGGGAGAATAGAAGAAGTTTGATGGTGCAGTCACTGTAAATTTGTTATTCACTTTCAACAACCATATGTTTCTGAGTTTGGTATCTTTGCAGTCCGGCTTTCCCTGAGTTATTATTTGGGCATTTCTTATTGGATGTATACAAGTATTTGCAAATTTGGAACACAACCTTCTGTATCTTACCTTGGTGAATGTCATTCAAGCCTGAAACCTGGGAAAACAATGTGGGTTCTTTCTTACTCAACTCCTACAGCCAAGTGGTGATGAAGGCCTTTGTGCTGTACTTACTATCTCCCCTAGTTTCACTTCTCTCAATCCCACTTCTATTTGCCAGATAAAACAAACAAACAAAATCCCACAGAAATGAAACTGCCAATAATGACCCTATAGGACACAGCAGAACTATAGCATCTTCAAGGCTGTGAATCTTTACAATAGCATATTGCTTCAACATTCTCCTGAAGAGCAGCTGGTGAGTTCAAACTGCCGACCTTTTGGTTAGCAGATGATAGTTCAGACTTCATTTCTTGCCTAGGTTGCTACATCGACTACCTATATGCCTGAAGTCTTGCTGAAATCAAGCTCTCCTTCACCATTTGGCTTCAGTTTCTCCAATAATGATCCCATAATAAAAACGTCTGTCATTCTGTGGAGTCCCCTGGGTCCTGGTCCTTCTCAGCCCACAATTACCAAGCTATTTTGTCAGATGCTGTCAGGCTTGTGTTGGGCTTAGAGCAATTCTAGCTATAACAGAGTTAGATCGCACCATTCTCCCAGTCACTGCTGTGTGAGCCCACTATTTCATCCACTGTGTTAATCCATCACATTGAACTATTTTTTTTCTATTCAACTATTCACACATTTTATTTTTATGACATTAATTACAATTTATACATTGTTAAAATACATTTTCTATGATTCTTTTATAAAATACTGCTTTATTTACAAAGTTTGTATGCATTCTTTTTCCCGTACCAGATCTTTCCCATTTTCTTCACTCCCCCCCTGCACCCATCAAATTATGCCTCCCGATGGCATAATAACCCCCCTCTGCGCCCATCTTCTCTGCTCCCCTCCCCCTTGGAGCCTGGTGCTCATTCTACAATAATGGCCTCATACAGTATTTATCCTTATGGTATTGAGTTCACTTAGCATAATGCTCTCCAGTCCCTCCCAAGTTAGATAGTGATTTACAAAATCATTGCTTCTGTGTGCTGTGTAGCATTCCATTGTGTGAATGTACCGTACTTTCTCAATCCATTATTGTGGTTGGACATTTGGGCTGTTCCATGTTCTTGTGTGAATTATCCTTTTTGATGACCTCCTACTGTATCAAGCTTTATGTTCTTCAGTGACTAGTCTATCATGATAATATGTCCAAAGTATGTGAGATAACATCACCCCATACTTGCTTTTAAGAGGTATTCTGCTTGTGGTTTTTTCCAAGACAGATTTTTTGTTCTGACATTCCAAGGTATATTCCACATTCTTCAACCACAGCATAATTAAGTTATATAAACTCTTCTTCAGACTCTTTTTGTCTAGCTTTCGCATGCATATGTTGTTACTTTTAGGTGCCTCTGAGATTATTACAACTCATGGCAACCTTGCACCATCTTCAGGATCTCTAATTACACTCAAACCCATTGTCACCGTCGTGTCACTTCATCTTCTTGAGGGGTTTCCTCCTTCAGACACTTCACCATTGTGTGATGATATTGCATGATGTCTTTT